GCGTCCGTGCGTCCGTGCGTCCGTGCGTCCGTGCGTCCGTGCGTCCGTGCGTGCGTGCGTGCGTGCGTGGGTGGGTGGGTGGGTGGGTAGTGGGTGAGTGAGTGAGTGAGTGAGGGAGAGTGGGGAGTGGGTGAGTGTGAGTGAGAGTGTGAGTGAGAGTGAGTGTGAGTGAGTGAGTGTGAGTGTGAGAGAGTGAGAGGGCGAGAGTGAAAGTGAGTGTGAGTGTGGGGGTGAGAGTTAGTGGGCGACTGTGAGTGTGAGTGAGAATGAGTGAGAGTGAGTGTGAGTGTGACTCAGAGTGAGAGTGCGAGAGTGGGTGAGAGTGAGTGAGTGTGAGTGTGAATGTGAATGTGGGTGAGAGACAGTGAGTGAGTGAGAGTGAGAGTGTGTGTGAGAGTGAGAGTGAGAGTGAGAGTGAGGGTGAGAGTGAGAGTGAGAGTGAGAGTGAGAGTGAGGGTGAGGGTGAGGGTGAGAGTGAGAGTGAGAGTGAGAGTGAGAGGTGAGTGAGTGAGTGAGTGTGAGTGTGAGTGAGTGAGAGAGTGAGAGTGGGTGTGAGTGTGGGAGTGGGAATGAGACCGAGTGTGAGTGAGAGCGAGAGGTGAGCATCTGAGAGCACAAAGTGCTGCGCCTGCCACGAAATCTGCACTTCGAGGTTCACACAAAGCGCTGCGCCTGCCACGAAATCTGCAACAAAGTGCGATGGATGGCTGCCACGAAATCTGCATTTCGAGGTTCACAAAGTGCTGTACCTGCCACAAAATCTGCACTTCGAGGTTCACAAAGCGCTGTGCCTGCCACGAAATCAGCAAAAAATCTGCATTTCGGGGTTCACAAAGTGCTGTGCCTGCCACGAAATCTGCACTTCGATGTTCACCAATTGCTGCTGTGCCTGCCACAGCAACAGCAAAATCTGCACTTCGAGGTTCACAGAGTGCTGTGCCTGCCGCGAAATGTGCATTTCGAGGTTCACAAAGAACTGCGCCTGCCACAAAATCTGCAAGCGAGCCACATGTCAAAAGGTCACGTCACGATTCACGGCACCTGTCACGACATCAGCGCTCCTCCAAGATCACCACCATGCCAAAGCGCTGTACCTGCCACGAAATCTGCGTTTCGAAATAAAACCGCTCCGATCCCCGGCGCCTGTCACAACTTGGGCAGCTGTTGTTGCTGCACCAGAGTGGCTTGTGCACCTAACCTCAACCCTTCCACCTCTGGCTTTGCCAAGGTCTGCCAGCAAGGCATGGGTAATGTTCTGCAGGGCAGCCTCCCTGCAAAGCCAGCTTGGTGTGATGCAAAAGCGAAAATAGTGTGGCCACAATTCCGTGGTCACTGCCCCAAACAAGTTGGCCATCCGCCTTGCCCAAGCTCCCAGAAATCAAGCCCTCTCTGAAGTCAGGGTGTGGGACATCTCCAAGATCAGCCAACGTCTTCTCCACCAAGTATTGCTTCATGCCATGTCTGCCCATGAAGACATGGGTCACACCACCTTTCAGCAAGGAGGCTTTGAGCAAAGAAGAGTGCACCTTCAAGTTCGCCATGGCCAAAATGCGGCTTCTGCCTGGTCAAGGCATTCATGTCACACAACCACTTCTTGCACTCTTCCATTGACTGGCCTGTCTAGGGCTCCACAAAAAGGCCACAACATTAATTTGCAAGCTGCACAAAGTGCTCAGGCTTGTCAGGGGTGACCTTCAAAGCAGGCTGGGAGTTGCAATGGTAGCCACCAAAAAGCACTCCATCGCCAGCTGTGACCTTTTATGTAAACAAACACTTGTACTCTTTCCTTTTTAATCGTTCCTCTTTCTTCTTTTCTCTTTTTTTCTTGCCTCTTTCCTCTTTCTTCGCTCACAACAACCACTGCTTTGTTTGTTTGTGTTTGTTTTTGTTTGCGTTGAACTTTGTTTGTGTTTGTGTTTGTGTTTGTGTTTGTGTTTGTTTTTGTTTGTGTTTGTTTGTGTATATTTAAGATTTATATGTATGTGCAAATTCAAAATACATTTTGCCAAAGATAAAATAACATTGAACTAAAGATTCAAAGCGTTTTTCTTAATATGAAAAATCTATTTGAATTCACATAATTTTCTTGCTTTTTTAAAATTACATAATTCAATGACTTTAGACCACCAAAACAGGAGGTTGCCCTTGCACCTGCCACGAAAAGTGACCACCATGTGCAAAAATGCGCACCGCACCACAACAAGAGCGCAGTCGCGAAAAGCACGCGCCGCCACCAAGTGTAAATAGCAGTGAGTTATATAGGCGTTATAACGTCCGTGCGCCCCAGCGATCTAAGCACAGCTGCTTAACCACAACCGTAAGAACCCCTAAGTGTGTCCACAATGTTTGGAGAAAAACATGTCATTTTCGGCTTTCCCTTGAAGAGGCTGGTATGCTCAGCCTGGACATGTAGGATGGTCTTTGCGGCCTCGATGAATTCTCTCACGGTTCAACCAACAAAGAGTCTTCATCTCATCTTCCAACAGCCTCCTTGTAAGATTCCTTCCGTCAGGTTCGTGCAAAGAGGAAAGAATCTGAACACAAATCCGACATGTGAGATCACATGCGTGATCTGCTTTTCACAACGCACAAGGGTTGACACAAGGTTTTACTGGGTAAGCAGTGCGACAAAGAATGCAGTATCGATTTAAAGTCCTTTGGTAGATACGCTACGCTAAGATTCTCTCCTTTGCAGATGTGCACAGCTGCTTCAAGCTCTTCTGCGAAGGTGGCGGTGGCAACTTCAACGTCCAGTTTGGCTCAGATCTCATTGTCATTGGCAAGAAGCCTCTCTTTATTCTGATCTCCAGCATGTCTTTCACTAGAGCAGTGCCACTGGTCTTCGCCATATGGTATTGCCTTGCTCCTATTGCCCTCCGGCTTGTCTCTTCCATAGCGGCTATAGCGGAAAATTGAATTTCAAAAACACAATATTATTCCCCACCTGTCAGGTGAGGGTTGTTAGATTGATTTTATGTACAGTTGCCTTCCTCCACCTCCGCCGCATCCTTCCGCCTCCTCGACCTCAACCACACATGCAGAATGGCAGCGTTCTCCGCCGGACCTCAACTGCGAGGGCCTGTGGCAGTATTCCCCGCGGGACCTCAACCGCAGGGGCTGTTCCCGGCCGGGCCTCACCCCGCCGGACCTCAACCGCCAGCTCCCGTGCGCACTGGGCGCTGCCGGACCTCAACCAACACACAACCACGAACACAACAACAAGCGCACAGTCACAAACACGCAACCACAAACACAATCACAACCACAGCCACAAAGACACATCCACAGCACACAACCACGACCACACCACAACAACAACAACAAGGTACAAACAAAAACTGCAACCCCGTTACGCCACATCTTCTTTCTTTTCTCTACAAGGGGGTAGAAACAAATTCTGCAACCCCGTCGTTGTTTTTTGACCCCCCCCAAAAAAACAACCAGACAACAAGCACTTTACTGCTACTACTACTAGTGGTACTAGTGCTACTACCACTAGTGGTAGACACCCCCCACCCCGGACGTGTGCACGACAGTGCGCGGGGCTTGTGCGGAGGCGGAGGGGGTGGAAACCCGGTTCTCAATCTATGCACTGAAAATCAATCTTTTCTTGGAGACTCCTGGAAGTTTTTGGATTCCAATGGAACAATATGGTCGATTTAAACGCCTTCTTAGGGTCTATGAAACTCCTCTGAGGGTCATGCTACTGGTGATGCTTATTGTAACTGGTTAAGTAAACCCTGTAAAACTTCTACTTAGAACCTCTACCACATCCTAGAAACAAAAACTGCAACCCCGTGGTTGTTTTTTGGACCCCCCCCTTCCAAAAGATGTTGTTGTCTCTACCCCCCTAGAAACAAAATCTGCAACCCCGTTGTTGTTTTTTGACCCCCCCCCAAAACAACACAACAAAAAACAAGAAGCAGACCAACCAAGACTTGAGTACCACAACAACAAGAAGTCCAGCTACTAACATCTCTCCAAACCTTCGACCCTATCCCTAACAGAATCCCATTGAAATCCCTGACTTGCAACATGTGACAACTATGTTGGGCGGCTGTTTTTGTCTCTACCAACAACAACAACAACAACAACCACAACCACAACAACCACAACACACAACCACAGCACACAACCAGGGCCCACAAGCAAAATCGAGAACCACAAAACTTACGACCATGGCAACATGCTCCTCACCATGGCATGAAGACAAATGATTGAACATGTCATGGTGGGGATCACTCGAAGTGGAGTATTCTTTGAATGTTCTCTCCAGTGGTGCATTGCTGAAAACGCTTAATAGAAGGAATCGACCGGCATGCCCATGCCGCTGAGCAGCTCACCTTCCTGAATTGATTGTCCCGAAGCCTTGAGCTTTTCTTTCACACCCGACAGCTCCCGAGATGTTGAAGTTCAGAATCCCGCGGCGACCGGCAACGACCGTCAGCTACGATTATCGACCGGATCGATCACGTCAGAAGACGTGGTGGATCCATGACCCTTTGCCTGCTTGCTTTCGCTGACTTTGTGCCTGCTTGATCTGCTTGCATGCGCCAACCATCCATGACCATGCGAGTGGAGCTGAAGTCCAGCAGTGCAGGTCCAGATGTCTTGCGGCGGTTGTGTGCGGCGGTTCCATGCCCTCACGGCCGGTAGAGTCAATCGACGCCTTGCTGCTGCCGTTGATCACTACTCTGCCTGGAAGCTCCCATGGCCACTGCCAATCGATCGAGATGCAAATCCACTAATCCCAGTGCACTGTCTGGAGAGCTTCCACCGTCTGAAAGCTGCTCAGTCGATCCAAAGATGGCCACGAGCTGGGTAAGGTATCCACCGATGGATCCTTTACCTCCGGGGCTCCCGTAGTGAAAACTTTGGCTCCATTCTTTAAAGTCACCCTCGCTGCAAAAGGCAAAGAAGAAATTGCCAAGTTGTACTCCCATGCCTCCCATTGTTTCACAGACTTCAGTTTTCTGAAGCTGTCATGTAGACAAACGGAAGACACGGGAACATGTTCTGTTTCAACCAGTGCTCGCGTGATCTCGCGTGTAGAGAAGAATGGCGAAATCCTTGGAGGACCCATGGTGAAAGGTCGCGCGGCCGTCATGACGCTCTCTTCATCCGTGGCGCTCACACGTCATGACTCGGTCTCCATTCTTCACACGGAGAAGTGAAGTGTACCACTTTCTCGGGGCGGATGGCGCCTCATTTCCGCACACATAATTCCCCTCAAATCCGCGCACAGACTTTTTTTTTATATATTTACCTCAAATGCGCACACATGATTCGCCTCATCTGCGCACACATCGATTACATTCCTCTTTAAACAGCCCATGTTACCCCAAACTCAAATGCGCACACATGATTCGCCTCATTTGCGCACACACCAATTCAGTCATGATGATCTCTTTTTGCTCATTGCTTCGTTTGATTGATGATGTGTTAATAACGTCCTTCTGGACATTCATCTACATGATGATCTCTTTTTGCTCATTGCTTCCACAGGTTCACGTCACACAGACGCTCTGCGTTTGATACCCGTCCACGGATCTGACAGCCCAAACAGCGCGTCTAAAGCGATGGACGTAAAATGAGACAACAAGGTTCAGATTGTGAAACAATCTGGTCGGGTTCCATTCATTCATTCATTCATTTTTTCAGCCGTGTAAGCCGCGTGTACAAACGAGGGAGCCGCGTGTACAAACGAGTTTCGCGTGTACAAACGAGATCAATTCTCCGCGTGTATATTCAAGGGAAATTCCGCGTGTACAGACGAGGCTCCGCCCCTCGGGGCTCGGCCTTCTGCAAGCAGCCTGACAGGCATCACGGCATCAGTTGACCTTCAATTGATCTGTCCACAGCGGAATACAGATCGGCACGTCTCCGTAGAATACAGATCTGCTGGCACCTTTTGCTCAAGATGAGCTTCATCTTCACTACAACCACCCAAAATGCCCATCCATGTTGATAAAAAAACACGTCTACATCTCCATGAATCTCTGATTATAAGGTATACTCTTTATCTAGTCCAACACATGTGCAGCATATCTGCACGTATAGCTCCCCAAACAAAGGGAAGCCCAGCAGGAGCAGGGCTTCCGCGTGCTCCGCGGGCTCGGGGGGAACAGTCCTGGTCACCTCGTCCTTCCGCTGAAACTGAACCCCCTAATACCTAGATGTTCCTCAGGCAGTTATTTCTGCCTGAATGGTTTCAGGCTGTTTTTTCTGCCCGAACCTCAGATTTCCGCCTGAGGTAGGAATTTCTGCCCGAAGGCAGTTGCAGAAATTAAGAATGTGTAAAACACATCAGTGCCAAAAAGAGTCATGAATAATGATTACAATATTATTACAAAACAGGGTGTTCGGGTAAATCCGCCCGAATGCCGGGAAGTTCCGCCCGAATGCCAGGAAGTTCCGCCTTTTTGAAACCCCAGAAATTCTCTATTGTTTTATACATGTAGACCTGTTTGAGCTTTGCAGTTTGCAAATTACGGCTCCTCGTTGAAAACACCTGATTTGGAAGATCCGCCCGAGGGCGTTTTTTCTGCCTTTTTCGTAGAAAGGCAGATTTTAAGCAAAAGGCAGATATTAAAGACCGTTAGAGGATCTAGGTATATAAGACCAACTCCCTCCAGACCCCAGCTCAGCCACGTCCTGAAACCCAGCTCCATCCAGCTCCATCGAACAATCGACTCTCTGGGGGCCTTGAGGTGCACGTCTGCTGCCCAAACCATGGCGGGTCAGGGCTGCCGGTCTGTCGCTCGAAAACCGCGGAACGTTCAACGGTCCGGTCTGGTGTCGGAAGGCAGGCGGCCGGGTGAAAACATGTCATGACTGACTGGTGCTTAGTAGGGAATAAGGGAATGAGCCCCCAATAGAGATTCTATTGGATCCATTCCCTCATTCCCTGCGAGTCGCACCAGTCAGATGAAGGCTCATCTCGGCTGATTTCAAGCATGGAAGCACTTTGTGACGAGGTCGACGTCACAAAGTAGAAGGGCATCAGAGATAAGACTCATCTCTGACGCTGGGTCGCTAGGTCGCTATGTTATGAGTGTCGGACAAGATTACATATGACCCGCAGTGGACACCCATGAGTTGGGGCGCCGGATTGGGTTCTCAGGATTGGGCATCTCTTTACATGTCTTAGGTGGATGGTCCTTGAAGTCTGGTGACTGGAGGTTCAACTTGAGGATTGTGTACTTCACGCTGGGTAAAATACGTCAAGAATCTATCAACTGGGGTTTGACCAACCTGATTCCAGCCCCTTGGGAACTGATCCGAAGCCATGTGATTCGGCAGAACCACCGTGGCCGACCTCAAAAAAGGCTGCTCTTGCTGGGGAGGAACTTCCAAGAACACTGAGAACCCCAATGGGCTATCAAATTACTGTACAGTGGATTGAGAGTAGATGGCACAAACCCCAAGATGTCTTTTATATAGGGGTCCATATATACCACCTAACTTGGGGGCCCTTGTGCCATTGGTCCTCTCAACCCACTGTATTTCAATTGAGAAGATTCACATCAGCATGCTAAGGTCTCGGATGGACGGAGACATAGAAAAGAAATCAACTAGGGGTCACTCTGCTATCCGAGGGCCACTCTAGGCTCAGGCTGGCGGGATACTTTTCTAGCCTCAAACTCTTGAACCCTCTGTCTGTCCTGGAGCCGGGCAGAAAATACCAAGACGTGAAAAACCAGTGGGTCTTGACTTCTCAAGAATTCTTAATTCTTTACCTTGCGACTTCGCCCTTTGGCCACAGAAAGGCAGCAAAAGCCAAGTCCAAAGCTGCGAACTGGCACGCTGTAACAGTCTGATTCCTTCAGTTTGCCTCCAATCAAAGATTTGCCTAGCTGGGCAGGTGGCTTCAATCCACTGGATTCAACATGCTGTAGCCGCCTCAAATTGGGCTGCTTCGATGTGTTTGTTTCGCCTGCACCAACCCTCCGTGACGTGGATGGCACGGCAGGAAGGAGCCACCCTTTTCCTCTTCCAGGAGTCCTTCAAGAGTGTAAGGCTTTATCTGGCCATGATTCTAGGGGTAGGCCAGTGGGCCAACCCTCAAGCTTCAGACATGAAGGGGCTAGTTCAAGGAACCCTAGTCTTTGAAACTGAAACTGTTTGCTGAGAGGTCTGCAATCCTACACGAGTTCTTCTCAATTTCCCAAATCCAAATCACTAGGATTCACATATGAACAGTGATTCCTGCATTCGATCTTGCTCCAAAGCTGCGACTACTGGAATCCTCCATGGTTAATGTGGATGGTCCACTAGTCCGATGACCTGGTGTTTCTCCCCACGGCCAGGATCAGCAACTGGGTGCATACAGTAGGAGTAGCTTTAGCATGCTTATACCTGATGTGATCCAATCCCAAATCCGGCGTGCCCTTTTCTCCGGCTTAGCGGCTTTGAAAGACTCACTTGAAACGAGAGAGCTCTCCTTCGCTCCTGCAGTCTCCTTCAGAGTCGATAAGAGAACCGGCTCGGTTCGTCCGTTTGACCCACAGGGAAGTTGGCGTCGTTGTCTGCTACTCTGAAGGCACTGCTACTCACCGAACGAACAACGTGTCGGTCGCGGAACAGGGCGCGCGGAAGCGGAGCGGCGGAGCGCAACGCGCGGAGCTGGAGATCCGGGCGTCGTCTTGGTATGTCTACTAGGGGAGCATTGCCGATGTTTAGGCGTCTGGCCGTTGATGAATAGAACCCCCCAGACGCGACCCTGGGCTCTCATATGGAAGGGTCGGACCCTCATATGGAGGGGTCTGGGGTCGAACCAATCCCTAGGTTTTGAGGGACCAAGGGCTGTTGGGAGCGTCTGGGCCCTCACCCTCAAATTGGAGATGTAAGTATAAAACATGGTTTCAGCATGTTTCAGCCATTCTGGGGCCCCCGGGGAGTTGATTCACATCTGCCAGGACCTTCCAAGGGGTGCCCCATGGAGATCCATAAGTAGTGTAGTGGTTTTCATTGGTGACCCCTTGGAAGGTGCTGGTCTACATGATCCAACGCATTATCATCACTCGAACTCGCCGAGTCTATCCGAGTCAAGTCGGTTTGGCTCTCCTGCGTCTACTCAGTACTCGGCAAAAGGCCCCCTGAACCGTTCAATCGATTGCAACATTATGCCATACGCTTGTTTGCATAGGTCTTATCACCACAAGCTCAAAAGTGAATGATCGCGAATGTCTATACAAAATTGTGTGAGCTTGAACCCCCCAAATGTGTGAAGATTTGAAGATTTTTGGGCAATGGGACTGATCATGTGATACCCTGCATCTTGGAGTCCATTGATGTAATTATGACGATGTTGACATATTGACTGCTCATAAAGAACATGTCGTCCCAAACACACCATGGGACTGCCATATTATATGCCTACATTAGGGTGGTTTTGGGGATCATGTGTGGGCATATATGGCAGTCCCATCAGTCGTGTCTGGGCGTTGTCGGAATATGTTTGAACATCCGGGCAGAGGGTTGGTTTAGTTCATCAAGAGTCAACATGAATTCATTTACGATCTCTTCCTGCAAGCCCTCGGCATACCCGTGGCTTTCACCCCCCCCACACCAGAAGCACGAAGACGAACGACGCGCGAAGCCGCGCGAAACGGTCTTAGCTTTGAAGACGCCTCTCATCCTTGAAACCTCAGGACCCGCGGTCGAGCGCGGCGACCGGCCCTAGAAGAAGATCAGAGACCCAAAGCTCGGGGTTGCCAGCTGGTCGTGGGGGAAGGGAGCAGGAATTTGACGACCTATACCAAGATTTGTGAGATTTTGTGAGCAATCCAATGACGGTATGACGACGTATGCATCCCTGTTGTGCTGCACATGTTGCTATCTCAAAAGTTCGCTTTCTGTGGGAGCTACACTCCGACTCACTAACATGTAAGTGGAAAAGAACTCTCTTCGTAAAGGAAAGTAGTCTTCCAAGGGAACATTTTCCATGTTAGTGAGTCAGAGTGTAACCCTACAAGTCCAAATAACCAGTAAAACCTGGTATTTTACCTCCTTAAGTATTGGTTTTGTATGACCATCTCCAGTAAAATGAGGTCTATGACTTGTAGGGTAAGCTTCCAAAAAAAGCTCACCAAATCTTCGGGTCCCACAGCTCGACGTCGTCATGTCATGTCCGGTGTGGTTGGAGGCGGACGTCACACACATGACATCAGGCCCTATAGAGGAATCCACATACCCTCTGACCTCTTCGACACTGTTATGTATGCCTGTACGTAAGGGTCCAGTCGCACGTTCTGAGAAGATACGACTGGATCCCGTGTTGTTGAAACCACCACCACTGACTTCGGTCAAGAGCTGGGGTGGAGCGGCTTGTTCCGAACAGAATTGGAACGTAGCTGAACCCGAATGCAATCCCAAACACGACCTGTCTGGGACTGCCATGACGGACTGTCGAGAAACGGCCAGGGGGTGGACCTGGGGTTCTGTCTGGGGCGGCAGTCCTATGCTATGCATGGAGCGTCTGGAAAGCTTTTAAAGTAGAGGGCATACCATTCATTGTGAATGCAGGGTGCACGAGTGCATACCCCACCCCCCAAACAAAAAGAAACACACTCACACACCGATCAGATTTCTTGGATCAAAGCCCAGAAACACTTGGGCCCACAACTGTATATACCATATTCTACCGGTACCCGACTCTACAGGTCACCACCTGCGCCTTGAAGCCTCCAAAAGTTACCATGTCGGAGACCTGTTGGAAGGTCCTGCTATAGGGAAGAGCGAGCTACACAGCTTGGTTCTTGTGGCGGTGCGGGATGGTGTGGATGTGGATGCGGCGGCGGCGCCTTCGGGATGGCATGGTCTCCAACCAGAAAAGGCCAACCAGCCAACCTCCAAGGGGTTCAAGATGTTCACCCTAGGGCTCCTGTCCCATATTTTCAGGTTCCGGTGGTCTTCCAGCCCCCAAACCACCCACCCCTGTCCCATCTTCGAAACGGAGGTGGGCCAGGAGCCCTAGGGTCAGATCACACAAAAGTGGAGAAGAAACCGACAAACACAAATCACGCGGAGGTTTTTCCGATTCGATCGGACCTTCCGTGACCGGTGGTCGTGCCCGACATCTGTGACCGGGCGGACACGAGTGGCGCAGCCTCTGGGATGTGCCACCCTAGCAATGTACAAGTAGGGGAGGAGGCTCCAAAACAGGGGAGAGGACCTTCACATGGATATACTCTGGCGAGCTCTTTCGGCCAATCGGTTTAAACACAGTGGAATACATGTCGACATAAGAAGAAACTCATTGGGCAAATCAATGGACATGAACTTTGCCAAAAGCAACTTCGACACTCTTCGCCCTACTTCGCTCCCAACAGCCTCTTCCCCCTTTGGCAACACCTCTCCCCATGGAAGGCTCTGTCAGCATGGGTCATCGGTCCGAACCAGCAAGCCAATCTGAGTGGCACCTGGCGCTCTCTCCCAGGCACCTCTCAAGCGAACCAACGTACGTTGCTGCGACGAGCTGCAGAAGCAGCTGAACGACCTGCACGACCTCGCTGCAAACAGCTGAAAATCCACATCTGAATCGACCTCCAAAGACCTTCCAAGAAAAAAACCGGTCGACCCCGGTTCCGGTCGACCTTCGGGAGGCTCCTCCGGTAAGCGCCGGTCGAACCGGTGGTTGAAGACGAACAACACGGATTCAACCGAAAAGTCCCACGTAGAGGTTACAAGCCCTAAGACTCCGAGACGGACGTCGGAGTGGTTTGGGGATCTCAGGGAGACTCTCATGAGACTCCAGGATTCAATAGGGGATGTATGGAGATATATCTGAAACCACCACCCAGTCATTGACTTCCTTGGCCAAAACAGAACGTTTGGATGCCCAACAAGTCAGCATGGCAAAGCAAAAACAAGCAACACAAAGGCTACTAAGGCTACACAAATCAATCCTCCAAAAGAACTGGTGTCATAGCTTGTGCAGCTGGGTTCTTTGCAACACCTGAAGAAAAAAGGGCTCGTGAGAAGATTCAGAACAATTTCATTCATCATTTCATATTCTGGCACCTCGAACAACAAGATCTCAAGTCACTAGTGATGCCTCAATCAATCCACCGATCTTAAAAGTCCGAAAGCTCGCGCTCCCACAGAATGGGCCTCCGAATTTTTAACGGACTCTCGGAGTCCAGTACGACAGCGGCACGTATGCCCCAGCAGTCGGTCTCGGGTGGTTTTCACTCACTTCACGGCGACGTCCCACGATGACATGATCAGATTCCAAGGCCTAGGCGTCCTTTTGACGTAAAACATATCAGTTGGAGTTCCCAAAGACTCCGGACTGCCATAGGACTGCCGATCAATTGACCCCCCAGTCAACCACCCCTGAAAGATGCCTGATACAGACACTTATATAGAATTTGAAAAGCGTAATACTAAATTGCCTTGTCCTTTTGTAACCTATGGTGATTTTGAGTGTCTAACGACTAACTCTAAAAATTGTATAAAAGGCACTTATCAGGAACATAAACCATGTGGTTATAAATGTAGTAAGCAGGATTGCTGCAGTCCTGCCAGGCAGTCCCAGACAGGTCGTGTCTGGAGTTGATCATACCAAAACACTACTCCATTTTCGGTGTGACTGGACCGGGGGGTCCCGACGATAAGGACGTGGCGGAGCCATTTGGAAGGAAGGCGGAGCCTGGCGGAGCCAAGGAACTTGGCATCTTCGACAATTACACGCCCGAAAGCTCACATGGAACCTGAAAATGGACCAGACTGGAAAACGATGCTACAACCCAGTGGTTTTCAGGTTCCATGTTAATCTTCCCGAGTGTAGATCTATATATGAACAGAGATCCGATAAACATATAAATAGGCACAGTCCATCTGTTCCATGTTCGCACTCACTTGACTTTTCTTTAAGACATGTGACATTCTCGGCCGCATCGGTGCATTGGTGTGCTCCTTTCATCTGCTTGGCTTACTTCGGTGCATGGCTGCGGACTCATCGCTTTCTGGGCCCAGGGGTGGTTGGACTTCGAGTCGTCCACTTCGTGGTCGCGGCGGCATGAACGCACGAACACGTGGGACACGGACTTTGTATACCCGTTTGGGCTCCAGTCGTACCTCCTCAGAAGGTATTTGGACCCTCCTGGCACCCACCCCAGTCCCACCTTCAAAACGAAGACACGACTGGAGCCCAAACGGGATACTCTTCAAAGAATAGCTTGGTCGAAAATACAGGTGGGTTCAAGTCTCGGTCTGGTCTCCCTCCTATCCAAACTCGTGCCCATACTGGTGGCCAAAAGCGGAGGGAGGGCAGCACATGGCCGCCATTTTTGGACGGAAAAACATGTACACCATATTACAGTACGGTCCTACGCATAATACACGCAGATCACTGCCAGTGGATGATGAACTTCTTAAGTTTTAAAGGATCTCTCTCCACATCTTCCTTTTGGACAGGCAGCTAGACCAGGGTGACACAAGCTGCTTTGGGAGGGCGACTGGGCTGGATTTCAATCAAGATTGGGACTGAGATACAAACCTATTGAACATGACTTTGCAAGATTTGTTGCCAATGATGGACAGTCACAGTTAGAGGTGTTTCAATTCTAAAGATTGTTGTGCCCAGAGTGTTGAGTTGGACTAGAAACTGAAAAGCATCTAAAACATTCAGAAACGATAGTAAGTTATGACACGTTTTTCTGCGAACTCCAAAGAATCTACAAATGACGAATCTCCGCAACCTGCAGCGCTGCCGAACATCTGCCACTTCAAGATGCGAAGAATCCACATCTTACCCCGAGATATGGCGCACATTCAGCGCCACATCCACCTGGACCCGTGAGTACATGTGAGTACCTTCGAGAACGGAACAAACGTGATGGACATGACATGATGAACATGTCCCGTTTGAACAACGAGAATTATTTCTACTATCTTCATTTATATCATTTTTCCTAATAAGGTACTTTCAATGGTGTCGGCTCCAAGCACCATCTCCCCTGATCTTCCGCGGAGAATCACAATTCCCCACCAACGCCGCTGTGGCTCAGCCGCCTCGGCCGCGCACACGCCCGGATGACTGAGCATCGACTCGAGCGTGTTCCAGCATGTTCTCCCTGACATCATCATGGTGGCGTAAATAACAGTTACCCGGAAGGGATGACCATTTTCCTTCACCAACAGCTAGTGAACTCCACGTCCATGATTGGTTACGGGGAGTGTTGAGCCTGCCTAAGGAACGTCCATGCATGTAGTGTCTGGATCGGAAGGTGCAAGTGTTTCTGGCATGAAGCGCACAGACTGGCATCTGGGGAGATTCCAGCAAGGGATGATCTGCGAAGTAACTAAGGGACAGCTTCCAAGGTTCTACTGGCCACCTAAATGATGCAGGCTGGCAATCTGATCCTATCAGTTTTCCTGCAAAACAAGTTTTGCAAAAAGATATTGCAGGTTAGTTGTCCACGTACTTCCTAGGTAGGTGCGATGTGCACGCCAAGTCCTCCGCCAATTCGGGAAGCTGAGTGATTCTTCCAAGAGGGGCTGAGCGCCCGGCTGAAGCCAAGCCCAAACAAGCCAAAAGATCCCAAAATCTTAGGCTTTACACTCCCTGGAATCGTCATGGAAGTGAAAAACACCCGTTTGTATTGAAACATTCCATAGCCTGGAATCAAGAACTCCATGTGTGGCAATCTATGACTACATTGGCCCAGGTCAACCACCCCTGATCCGCAAATATGGCAGTCCCATGGAATGTCTGAGTCAGGCTTCAACATGCAAACGGTCAAGGCTGTGGCATGTGCGGGGAAATCAGAACAATTAGCCGACTTCGTCACATCAAGGAAAAACACGAGTGGATTCTGCATGTTTAATAAGCATCCTCCTCCTCTTTCTGTGAATTAAATCGTGAAGGAATTCATCCTTAAAAGAATACACGTGCGCAACTTGCCTAAATAAATACATAAGTGTGCTCCCTGTCTCACACACACATAGACAGTTCACACACACACACACACGCGTGAATGAAAAGCACAATGAACACACACCTAATGACATATAAAACATACTCACGGTGCAATGATGCTTGGCCTGACATTACCTGCCAATTCATGAAGCTACATGCCTGAACTGAATGGCCAAGCAGCACAGCAGCATGAAATGCACCTACATTTAAGTCCAACTGGTGCACCCCTATAGTCACTCGTCCAAGAGCCCATCACCTGAGCCAACAGCAACCACTATCCACATCATAAATATATATATATATATATACACGAAATACTATGCAAAATATTTACATACCTGTCTGGAGATCCATATGCAGTGTGAAGGCCTCCAGCCAGGTGACCTTTGGAAGGTGCTCATTATAAAAGAAAAACACACCAATCACCTGTCCCCGCGGCCAATTCTTCGCGATTTCCCGGAACCCCGGCCTCGTGGCCACCGTTCACCGCCTGGCTGCAACCGGTGGCTCTTCCCGGGAAGCTGCGGCAGCGGTGGCTGGGGGTGCAAAAGAATCAAAGATCCAAGGATTCCTCGATACCTAGATCTTCAGTCCGGCACTTTTACAGGGTGCGGCACTTTTTTCCGCCCAAAGGAGGATCCAGGTATGACTGGCACTATAAGGACTGTGCAAACAAAAAGGTGCCACAGAATGTTAGGAGGAGTCTCAATCGCCCTGGACCCTCCAACTTCCGTCCAACATCACCGGCGTCCTCATCACACGCGATCACACGTCACGTGACAACGGTCGGACATCGGACATGGCACCAACCAAGGGGGACTCCGCTGGGTGTCTGAGAAATGCACCTAAGGACAGGCAAACATGAGGTTTTGCCATTACCTCTTGTCCAATTTGTTCCACCAAGGCCCAAGCCTAAATACCAGCCAAGTAGTCGCAGTCTCTTCCCAAGTCGCACTCTCCCCCTTCCCGAAGCCGAACTTCCATTCCATTCGTCTTTCCGCGGGAACCGGCCGCTCCAGGCACATTGGCCCGCGCCACTCGCCGCCCCTCGACTGAAGCGGAGAATGGAGGGCGCCACGCTCGACGCTCTAGCGGGACTCCGAGAGCACCAAACCCTGCCAGCAATGATCCTTGGATTTGCTGCTGTCCAGGAAGGTGGGGCGAAAGTAACAGTAGGGCCAAATCAGGTAGGTGGCTGGGGCATTCACCCTAGAAACGCTCAGAAGCAGGTGGCTTCACCATGGTTCACCGGAACAATCAGAACATCCCAAATCACGTAACATCGCCAAATCAGGGGTACATACCAGGGTCATCCAATGGGTGTCCATGGGTGTCCAATAGACTACCTTACCCTACTTACAGGTCTCCAGACAGGGCACCCGGACAGGAAGTGCTAGGTATGAGGCATTCAGCGTGAAAGGGGGATCACCTGAATTCAGATCACCTGAACCCTAGGGCTCCAAGTACCTCCTTAGAAGGTATTTGGACCCTCTAAACCCACCCCAAACACCTTCTAAGAAGCACAGCCAAGGATCCGAAAGAGTCTCTCTGCTGCGAGTGCACCAGTCCCTCCAGGGCTTTCGGGGCTCGCTGCACTGGAAGTCCTTCGACCCGACCTGTGCATCGACGCTGAAGTCACGTTGCTTAAAGGAGCTGGATCTTAAAGGAATGTGAAGGCTTAAGTGTATCAAGAACCCTAGAAGACTTCAACGAACCCCAAAACCACGTCGGGTCGTAGAAAGCAGCCTTCCAAAGGTCCATTCTCAGATTCACTGTTAATCTTCCCGTGTGTATAGCTGTCAGAAAGCTTCCCATCTGACGTATCGACAGGCAAACACACTCACATTCGCATCGGCACCTTCCCGTTTGATCGCCAGAAGAAAATATGATCCAAAGTAGCGCCAGAACCTGACTTGCCAAGCTCAGTCAGAAACAAAGGGGGCAAGCCATGGTCAGCCTGCCGTTTTTTTTTGGGCGCCGCACCCGAACCCTCCCAAAACGGGAATGTGTGAGCTTCCACGTCCACAGTGGTGCATTTGAGATGTGTCCAAAACCATGTCCTGCCCCAGAAAAACCGACCGTCCAACGAGCTTTCCAGCACCCAGCGCATTCCCGCCTGGAGGGGGAAGTACCCTTTACTTAGAGACACACACGTTTGTGATCTATTATGCACATGGTGGCATGTGTTGTTTTATTTGGATGTGTTATTTCCACGCAAAAACGCAAATGTTGGAAGTGGTCTAGCGTCAAACAAGCCATGGTCGCTCATATCATAGGACTGACAGGGTCTTCAAATATCTCCTGTGGACACCTCTTGGCAGGTCCAGCCATGTTCTGCAGGTATGGGTCGAAAATGTTTGGCCCAGGTTCCACAGGCTATCCTTTACCATTGGGGTGTTGTATGGTGCCTTGTCCTATCTGATCGTCGAGCCACAACCACAAACAGCAAGGCAAACATTCAAGGTTTAAGCGTCTTGTTGGAAATCTTGGGAATTGAACAAACGTGGAAACAGAAAACAACAACACAAACACAACAGCTTTAAAACATCAATTCTTTGAGGGCTTCACCACCAGCCCCCCTGAAAAACAGGAACAACGTCGAACACCATCGTCTTCCCCACCGGCGTGTCAGCGCCGACTCGAATTGAACGGTGGACGGTTCAGACGTCGCTGATCGAGCCACAGGTCGGCTCATCACCTGTCAGTCGTTGCAGTCCCAGCTCTTGGTACCAAGTGCCTCGAGGCGCTTCGCATGCGCGCTCGGGCGTGTGGCGTGGCGGAGGAGGCCTCCGCGGCCCCGTGCGGCCCCAGACGTCGGGGGCGGAGGTCGAACACGAACGGAGGAGGCGTCCGTTCGTGGGGGGAGACTCCAAGCTCCCTGATCTTCGATAGATCCGTCAGTTACCGGTCATATCCCAGGTCTGTGAGGAACCAGGTCTTAAGTAAGTTCACTTGAGACCTTAAGTTGGTGTGCCTCTGAGTTGGTAAGACCACGAATGAACATGGGTCAAGAAAGGGATGAGACATCGATGGTTGGAGAACCGAAGGGATGAACATCGAGTCTCCTGACCCACCTCCCTGAGCTAAGTGCTACAGTGGCAAACAGCCTTCCGTTTGACTATTAAAAGATAGGCTCCGGGAGTCGCAACGGGGTGGTGTGGCTCGTCCCCGAAAACGTCGAGTGGATGCGACAGAGGCACCCCGACGGCACCCTCCATGGACCGCGCCCCGAGCTCTGTGACTGCTGGCATTTGCTGCCTTCCAATCCTAGCTGATCTTCCCATCCAGGATGATTCTTTGACTTGATCACCCTGCAGTGAGGGGGAAGGGTTTAGACTTTGAAAATCCGAATATCTGGAGTTATTGGTCAGACTTCAACTGTCAAAAGGTGTTCAGAACAGTGTCAACTTGAGGGGTGTGGAACTGGCGAGGAGGTCGCTACCCTGCTGCCGACGAGGTTCGGAAGAACTCCTGGCGAAAGCCATTGGGGTCGTAATTGAAGTCGCCACACACATACATCTCCAGGTGAGCGCACTTCATACTGAAGTCTGTCCGAAGCTTTTCCTCAGGTGAGCGCATCTTTCCGGAAACTTGCACAGGAAGTTGCACCCATTGCACCCAGCCTGCAGTGTAGTAACATAAGCGCCCCATAGACTCTAAACACAAACAAGAAAATCAACTAACTTTAGAAATATGTTCGGTGCAATCTGCAGTGTCAACCGTAAAGTCTTCGATATCATCTTCAAATTGAATGTTATTTAAGGAGCCGTCGCAAGCTGTTGAACACATGGATGATTTTCACCACGGATCAGTTCGATGTCACTCCACAGGCAATCGAGATCACCGAACTGAACCCACATCGATCGATACCTGTTCGTTCATGCGTGGGTGGGGGCGCCTCCCAACCTCCGACTGGGGACAGTTGACCTGTTCCCGGTCCAGTGATGGGACAAACCCGAAGTGTCACCGAACAGGTTCCCCAAGAATTCCCTAGCTAGGTATAGCGAACGGGCTCCAATCGTACACCGGTGGGCTGCCACCCCTGGAGCCCAGTCCCACCTGTTTAGCCGGAGCTGGACAAGTGGTACGTGCCGCCCGGTGTCCACATGCCGTTTCAACTCTGCAAGCTGACCAGGCCGGACGGGATCTTCGCTGGAGAGATGCGTATTCACCACCTTGGAGTGGTTTGGGAGGCCTCGCCATCCATGGGACTGGAAGAGAAGTGTTGTCATTTGATTTAGGGTGGTTTGATCAGATGTTTTAAGTACCTAGTGTCTATGTAGGCACAAAAGCACATACCCTAGCCTTCAAAGACCATTAAACGAATCGAAAGAATGACTGACCTGGTGACATTGTGAAAATTCTTAGCAATCCTTGGTACAATAATTGCTGTTTGGCACACACATGCCCCGAAGAAAGCATTAAAGCAATCGTTCTTCGAACCCTATAGGGCGATTTTCCAGTCTCATTGGGTGCTCTTCGGAATGGAAGAAATCCACTACATAGTTCCCTAGGCTTCCAACAACCATTTATCTTAATGGTCTTTACCGAACCACCAGCTGATTTACTAAGGATTTTACACTACGCAACCAGGTCAACCTTTCTTTGAATGGTCTTGGAATTCCATCTGTTGAATCTCTTGGAATAAGCCCAGCCAGGGTGTCATCCCTGGTGTCAATTCCCTACGGCTCCTGGCCTACCTCCGTTTCGAAGATGGGACAGGGGTGGGTTCCAGGGGGGTCGAAGACCACCGAACCTGAGGATATGGGACGACGGAGCCCTGGGATCAGTGATGTTCCCATTTCAGGACATGGAACGAGTACGCCACGGCTGCCGCCACTGGGAAGACCGGCCTGATGGGACCAGAAGGCCCAGATCAAACCCTTGTTGCATAACCGTTCTTCATGAAAGCCTCCTGGATAGCTCTTGTAGGCCACGAAGCCTTTCTCGCCAGGTGCGCGGGTGGCCAGGATGCAAAGGCCTACAGGGATGGTGGCGGATGACCATGACCAAGACTCGACATATTCCCCACCTTTTGGGGCGAGCCCTCAGGTTTGATAGGGCCACAGCAGCAGGTTGGACATGATGGAGGGTACAATTAACTTCCCTTCTCAGATCATACATGGATCCATTTGGGGCACATTCCCAAGCCATCACTAGTGGAAGAAGGCATAGGCCCAGGCCTGAATCGATGAGGGACAGGGAAGACAAAGACATCCCTCGATGCCCCACCACCACAGCATACTCAATCCTGGGATCCTCTTTGGCTGCAAATAAGCGCGCAGCGGTGTCCCAAACACGGCAACAGGAGAGCCACCGGAAAAGAATGCCCAGGGAGAGCACGAAGTTCTCCCAAAATTGCGTGACCTATCAGGGGTGCGGCAGAAGATCCTTGATTATCCGGGTCCATAATCTGTCTTTTTGGACGACACTGCCATGGTTTGAAGTACAAAGTCTTCAAACTCATGGACACTTTGATGCGCTCTGCGACGCTGGGTTCTCGGAAATCATGTATCTACAGAAGCCAACATTCACAAGGCAAGCAAACGGAAAGGATTTTTCGATGTTGTGCACAAATATCCAGGTTCCTTTGCAAAATCGAAACATTGCATTCAGTGTTAACTTGAGAGGAGGGAGACACGAAAGGTAGGACAGCGGGAAGAGAAGAGAACGCGAGAGGCAGGAACAAAAATGCAATGTTCGACATGGTGATTTATCCTCGGAGGCGACCTTTCGTAAATATATGTTCATATGCACTTTAAATGTTCAAACATGTGCTCTCGAAATGTTCAAAAAGATTCTTAGGAAAACAAACTTGCCCCATGGCTCAGATCATCGGTGAGCATTAAATCGGAACATCATAGGATTTGAACTATCCTGAAACATCCTGAAACCATAAGAGGCTCACGAAGACGCTCCCCAGGAGAGAATTGACGTACTTCACAAAACAAACTCTAGGTATGTATCCCCTCGGGGAACACCTTTCGTGATTAGAATTTCATATTCACTCTTTCTAAATGTTCAAGAGGGTTTCAACTATCCTGAAATCATGAGAGGCTCACGAAGACGTTCTCCAGGAGAGAATTGAATTTAGAGG